ACTCAATAATATTAAACTCTATCAAATGTCCAGACTAATTCAGGTTATTCATTAACACCGTACACAATCATACGTGGGAAACTCGAATCTAAAAAGACCCGACTTTGGAGTTTCACTGTGTTAGAATGCCAACGTCACACAGTAACACAAACAAACTAATCAATGGAGGCAGCAGCGGAGCAGCAACTCCTGTTTTCTGTGAGTCAAAATGAGAGAAGACGTCGATATTCCAGCTTCAGGTTCCCCGTCAGAGAAGGCAGCCTGATAGCAGGGAACAGCGGTGAAAATGTTCTAAAGATAGCAAAGTGCTATAGATTGTTTTTTTAGTGGCTTTAAAACACATTTTGGCTGGTGGGTGGGAAACGAAGAGCATCTAATGGAGGTAAAACACGGAAAATTAGGAATTAGAAAGCTTTGTGTTATTATAGAGCCCCATAGAGCCCTGCTTTGCTTTAACCCCAACATACAGTCGTCCTCACATGTATTCCTACCCTCACATTAAAGAAGGAAAAAAACATCTGCCACTGAAATAAGTTGAAATTGACAAAAGTAATAATAAATAAAAATTAAATAAAAATCATGACATTGCTGTTGAATTGTGGTTCCACAGAAATATATATAAAAAAACAAGCATGATGGGACCTGTGAACTAATATTTTGTTGATCAACCCTTTGAGCCAATCAGGTGTTTCCTGTAACTCTCTGTTGCCTTTTCTTTAATAGAAGGATGTGAATACATTTGAGTACGACTGAACATGTTTGGGGTCAAATTTTACCCGTTTTGACATTTAACAGCAGTAAAAACACCCCAAACGTCATTCTTTAGCCTGAAATTTGATGACTTCTCCTACAGTGAGCCAAAATAAGCAAAAATGAAAATGTTTTATACCTTTGTACAGGTGCTACAAATGTGAGTACACCTAGACTGTTTCATATCTGTTGAGATGCATTTTAGATCCACCAGTGTGGGTCAAATCAAGGAAGATGGTGGTTTTAGGGAATCTTGAAACTATAAAATTCTACAGGCCATGTTTTATGTGTGTTTCTTATTCACATTTATTCATGTGGCATCGGCTGTTTAGACCCTCTAAATAGATCTGGAGTTTAAAATGTAGTCGAAATGAACCATTTGTAAGGCTTGAATAAACCAAAATATCCCTTTAAAGTACCATTAAGGTTCAACAAGAGGCCTGTCATCACCGTAAACTCATGATAATCTGAATAATATTCTTTAGTTATTAAACACTGGGAGAGCCTATTAATCATGATCCAACTTGCGTATTGTAATAATTAGCCTACTAAATGGGAATAAGCATCAAATCAGTCGTTTCAACCCGAACATTCCTCCGTTGCAGCCCAACCTTTACCCCACGGTGGGGCTCCAGACCCCCGGCGAGATCGTAGACGCCAACTTCGGCCAGCAGCCGTTCGTTTTCGACATCGAGGACTACATGAGCGAGTGGCGGGCCAAGATCCACGGCATGATCGCTCGCTTCCCCATCGGCGAGAGGCTGGGCGAGTGGCAGGCCGTCCTGCAGAAGTAAGATCCACAACTAACACACACACACACACTGTCGTACTTCATCCAAAAGCTGAGAACATAACGGCATGCAGAGAAGCTGCAGGAGGAAAAATGTAAATGAAAAATGAGTCTGGCGGTGTTGTGTGGGATGGTGGTGCTTAAAAATATTAGAACAACACAACACTGGTTGAATTAGCAAACAGGAAAACACGATAATTCACATTTTCACAGATGCAGGACCTCGATTTCCCCATTTTATGCATATTTTATGGGATGAATTTGACACTTTGTGGTGCATTTTGCACTTTAGTTCATTTTAGTTTATCATATATTTTACGCTTCATTATGCATTTTGTATCTTAGTTTATATTTATTTTATATTTTCTATTTTTCTGCTTGGTGCTGTAACAACAGAACTTCCTCTTGGGGATCTATAAAGTATTTCCATTCTATTTTTTTTTTACTAAACACAAGCAAAGTAACGCCTCCTCTCAACACACTGTAAACTTCTGTTCATGTTCTCATCACTTAAAGGTTAATTTTCTTGCTCTCCATCATCAAAATCAACACAAACTCGACACCACAAAGCGTTACGAGTGTGTCGATGTCGTCATTCTAACACTTGTCCCCCTTTCTGTCCAGTATGGTGTCCAGCTACCTGGTGCATCATGGGTACTGTGCCACTGCGACAGCCTTTGCCAGAGCCACAGAGACCATGATTCAGGAGGACCAGACATCTATAAAGAACAGACAGAGTGAGCAAACAAAGCGACCGCACACACACAGATCCACTTTTTTCATTTGGTTCATCTCTGAAGCCAACTTAAATGTGGTTATTTCCTGTAGATTCTGAAATAAAAGATGTCCACAGCTCGATAACTGTCTGTATGAGAAACTGTTTTAGCATTTATTAGCTACACTAGATACGTATTGCAGATAAAAGAACATTTCAGAAATCCCCGTTGCCCTTCCTCCAGGATAAATGACATCAGCTTTACCGTTCATGTGGACGTTACATCTGCAGCTTAGCAGCAGATTTCTGCAGCTGAATTATGACGAGTTGTAATTCCAGCTTCAGATACGCACAGTTTAATATTAATTCGTCCTAACTGTGCTTCAAAATATCTTTAATTTGCCTTAGATTTAACATATCTACATTGACCTTTTCGGATATTTTGAATCTAATCAAAATGTGATTATGGAGATCTTACAATTAGCTGCAAGTCAGACAATGACTCTATAAATGATGTAAGACGTTTCAGCGCCCCGTCAGAGCAGCATGAGGCCGAATTTCTGGTAAATTTCGACCACAGATCTCTAATAAACTAAGCTCTCATTGGTTCCCTCAGAGCCACCGGATTCCTCTAACAAAAACACTAATTCTGCCTCACAGAACACGGGAGTTACTGGTCTAATGCTGCGTGACTTCAGTGTTATAAATAACAGAATGACTTTATTTATAAAGCACTTTTGAAAACAAGGCTCCATTTTCAGATATCCACAGCTTGATTCTGACTTGTCATGGTTGTAGTTTAAGATATCTTTAATCTGAATTCAAGACATCTACACTGACCTTTTTGGACATCTTGAATTAAGTTTTAGCTGGAATTCTGTCTCATCAAGAAGTATTGACGGGTATCTTGAAGTAGCTGCAAGTTGGAAGCAGTGGTTGCTCTTTTTAAAAACTGTATGACAACATGTTTTACCACCATGTCAGAGCAGCTTGAGGCCGAATTTTTAGTAAATTTCAAGCACAAATCTGTGATAAATGAAGCTCTTGTCCTCCACTAACTCCTCGCTGATGAGCTTTTCTGTATTTCACTGCGTTTTCTAGCGATTTTATCCTCCACAGAAGCTGCTTTTGCTTCTGTAAACACTGTTGAAATGCTTTGCAATGAGCAACATCGTGCACAACAAGTCAGCTTTATTGTCAGTTCTGCCGTATGCAGGACGCAGACGGGTTGAGATGCCGTTTCGCTCAGACCCCAGAGCAAACATGCAAGACGCAGTAGAACCCAAACAAAGAAGCGATGCAATGCAGTGGATAGTGAACAATTCCAACTAGTCATAAGAAGTGTGAAATTTTTATTTTGACCAGTCCAAATTGAATTACGGATATCTCTAGCTGTCATCTTGGCTGGTCAGAGTGATTAATTATAGATATTTGGACTAAATAATTGCTTAAGTTACTACTACAGGTCAACATGACACTGTTGATCTGTGTAACGTAACTCTGGATGCTCAAACTCAACTCTTAAATGTTAAAACTGCTTAAAATATGTGGATGTTGGTTTCCCCCAGTGACACACTGGCTTCTAAAGCTCGTTTTGTGCTGATCAATACGCTAAATAAGCACCTGTTTGTTTGTCTAACAGGAATACAGAAGCTGGTGTTGGCAGGACGGGTGGGCGAAGCCATAGAAGCCACTCAGCAGCTTTACCCCGGCCTGTTAGAACGCAACCCCAACCTACTATTCATGTTGAAGTAAGTCAGCGTGTGGCATTAGATTAAAACCAAATGCAGCAAAGTATCCGTGATTCCTGTTGCGGATGTCGGCTTCACCGGTTCACTCTGAACCTCCAGGTGTCGTCAGTTCGTGGAGATGGTGAACGGTACCGACAGCGAGGTTCGCTGCTTGACCATTCGCTCCCCAAAGTCCCAGGACAGTTACCCCGGATCGCCCAGCCTCAGCCCCCGCCACGGAGCCAGCAACACACACCTGCACACCGGAGGTACGCAACACGACAGCAGTTAGAGACAATCAGAGTCAGAAACTGTTTTATTACCAAGTAGGTTTTCACATACGACAAATCTGACCAGATGTTTTAGGGCCTAACAGTGAACAGTACCACACAGATTAAAAAGTGTTCAGTGTGAACATCTTCAAGTTGACTGATTCTTTTTTTATTTATTTTTTTAATGTGGTGAATACTGATTGAGTAAAATCTGGGCTCATAGCTAACATTAGTTTTTGAGTTAAGAATTCTTAAAGAAGGTTGGGTCATGTCCATTTTTGTGGAGCATCGTGGCGGCAGTATAATAATGTGGAGCAATGTTCTAGAAATAACGTAGCTAGAGTCTTGAAATTTTGCAGGATCGTTGATATGCATGTATGAGCTTCACTGCTGTAACTCTGCTTTGATAGAATAATACAGACCACTCATATGATGGGGCAAAACTGGTGAAAAAATGTCCGATATTCCACCAACTATAAAACCTTAAAGAGGCTGAACTTTTCCTGTGATTTGCACCAATCGGAGCTTTAAAAAAGTTGAGTTTGGTGCCAGTCAGAGGCGAACTATGAGGAAAAAAACAATCAAATTACATTGTTTGCACTAATGGCCAACACTGGGACAACGATTGGGCAGGTATTATAGTGAAACCGCTCCAGTAGTGACCCAACTGGAAGAGTTCTATAATGTCGTTAGAGTCCTGACATTTTGTCGGCTCATTGATATGAACATGTGGTCTAAAATGGCCCAAACCTACGTTGATAGAATAACACAAACCAGTTAACTGATGGTGCACATTTTGTGCAAAAATGTCCGATATTCCACCAAACATAAAACCTTCAAGAGGCTGAACTTTGCCTGTGATTGGCACCAATAGTAGCTTTAAAAAAAAAAAGTAGAGTTTGGTGCCAGTAGGAGGCAAACTTTATGAGATTTAAAAGTTAAGGTTGTTGCATTTAAGACTAATATCTGAACATGAGTTGAGCAGGTATGATGGTGACACCACGCAATAGTGTCCCAACTGGAAAAGTGCTATAAAGTTGTTACTGGGCTAAAAGAACAATTGTGGTAAAGTGGTGTTCCATCCCTCTTTAGGAACTTTTACCTCAAAAACTAAAATTATGCAGGACTCAAGATTTTACACCTTTTACTTAATAACGTACGTATGCACAGAAAACTAATGTGACAAATATGAAATGGTCAGACAGCAACTTATTTGTAATATTTGGTGAATTGAGGTGGAATGACCCATAGGTACACCGAGGTAAATATCCACGGCGCCATCTTGAATCAGATGCCAGAAAACTTTTCATTTTTTCCCAGTTTAGTCATGATGTGTTTCTGATTTCCGCCCCACCAGGAGCAGACAGCCCCACCTGCAGTAACGGGGTGACTCCCCCCAACAAGTCAAAGAGCCATGGCGGCGTCGGTGGCGGCGGCGGCAGCAGCAGCGTCAAATACCCCAGCGCGTCCTCCTCCGCCTCCTCCTCCACCTCCTCCTCACCCTCCTCCATCAACTACTCCGAGTCCAACTCCTCCGACTCCACCAAGAGCCAGCCGCACAGCGCCAACAGCACCCAGGAGACCAGGTAGGACGCCTGCCGACGGCTCAGGTGTTTCCTCCTCGTGGTGACGGTTAGACAGACACGACGCAGGCTGAGCTCTGTGTTGTGTTGACAGTTGATCACTGAAGGAGCCACGAGGGAAGATTTGTCATTATTAAATCATTACTGCAGTCATTTTAAGACACGGTTTTGTAATCACTGTGAGATAATAAACTGCATTATTCAGACGCCGCATTTGAAGGACACCAGCAGAGGTGCTTTGCAACACAACGCGTTAATAGAACATGTTAATAGAAGAAAGAACATCTGTTTTTGACGACACTGATTATATATTTAACCAAAAAAATCTAACAAAACGACACCATTTATCAACCAGAAACTGTAAAAAACAAAAGAATAGTTGGATTTTTAGCTTTCCAGCAACCGTGTAACTCCTCATTTGTGCCGTTCCCACCAAAATCTAAGCTTTAAACTGTGATATTTCATTAACATCACTTTGTTCTGCACGTCTAATAGTCTAATAGCAAGTTTAATAGTCAAATGAATAGCCACATATTTGCACAGGATTCTGTAAAAATAAAAAAAGTTTGCTCGGTCACATGATAAAAATGTAGGGACTGTTCGGCTGATCTGCAGGTTTACACAGAGCAGAGTAAATACAAGCGTGGAAAGAAATTTCTGTTAACAAACGTACATGTTGAATCCACTGTGACAAACATTTTGAAAGCTTATTGAGTCTTATAAGCTATGTTCATTTAAAAAAAAAAGTTTTTACATTCATTTTAGTTGGTTTTTGACTTCATAAGTTAATGTGTAGGTTAAAAAGTTCGTCCATTTCATACATGATGGAAACACCTTTATGGAACAGGTGGTTCATACGACTTATGAGTGACTTATGAGTTGCTTCTAGTGAAGAAAAGACAGAAGATGTTACGTATAAATGTTCTCTTGACACTGTGCAGCTCTAGTTTAGTTACTGAAGCAAACATAATTCATCTTTTTCTGCAATATTTCAAAAATGTTTGCTTCAAATCCGCTTTACAGATTTATCGAAGCACAACTGGTGTCATCTTGTGAACATTTATCTGAAATTTAAAATTCCTGAACTGCTTCTGTGTTTTGTGAACAGTGACAGCGAGATGGAAATCGAAGCAGAGCACTACACCAACGGAGTCGTCGAGGGATCCTCAGCGCGGATCATGAACGGGACGTACAAACACGAAGAGATCCTCCAGCCGGACGACAACAGCATCGGCAACGGAGTCACAGGTACAAATGCACTAACAGGATGCCATCGGTCTGCTAAAGTGACAGGAATCCTTCCATCTTTTAGTTATTTCTGACCATTTGATGAACAGAAATGTCTGTTATGTTTGAGGAAATGAAGCTGCACTTAAAACTGGTCAGAACTTTTTTGGCAAACACCAGAAAATCCTTTATTTATTTATTTTTTTTAGGAAAGCTTTACACATTTCCACCTCTTTCTTGCTCCTTATCCTTTATGTCCCACCGGATTTAAATGCCCACCTCTGTGCCGGTCGAGTGTTTTCACCTCTGCTTGCTCGCCTGTTTGTGCAGATGAGGGCTGCAGTAACGGCAGACAGCTCTGTGGAGGGAACCAGGCGGCCACCGAGAGGATGATCCAGTTTGGACGGGAGCTGCAGGCGCTCAACGAACAGCTGTGCCGCGAGTACGGCAAGAACGCCACGCACAAGAAGATGTTACAGGTACGAACCCGAGCTCGACAGCACGGCTGTGCGGCGACAGATGTGGCACCAGAACTGAGGAAGTTTTTTTTTTCTCCTGCTGGCACCAGTCAAAAATCAGAGTATACTGTGCAGGACCTGAAGCAGCTTCTGATGTAGGACGTGTTTCAGTGAAGAATGCTCGGTCTGAAGATGCTGCATTCACTGACTTCAATCTGTTTGTGCAGTTGTTCTACTGACGTCTTGTAAAAGTTCTTTACATTTGACTGACAAATTTAAATGGAAACCGTAAAACAATGTGAGACAAACACATTGGAAATAAAAATGCAATGGTTTAAACCAGAAACTGTTTGGAAAAATGATGATAAAGAAATAAAATGAAATGAAGCTCAATGACAGATAAACTCAAACAAAACTGATGAAACATTTACACACAAGTTTGTGCAATTTTTCTTTTAAGTTCTTTGTGTTTAACAAGTATAAATGAAACTAACACACATTAGAAATAAAAATGGTAATAAAAAAATGCAATAATAAAAACAGAAAAAATATATAAAAAAGTAAAAAATAAATAAATAAAACAAAAATAATAGTAGATAAAAGACAATGACAAATAAAATCCCTGAGAGGAAAATGAACCTGTTAACACACATTTGCAACAAAATAAAATCTTGAATATAATAAAATAACTACTATAAAATCATTTTATTCCAAAGCAGAATAAAGAAAAAGGTTTTCTTTAAAGATATCAGCAGATCTGCAGGCAGACTGTTGTGTTTGTTTTGCATTTTGAAATATCTTACAAGAAATAAAATGCAAAAAAGTCAGTCTAGAAATTCTGAAGTCAACCGATGTAAAGGTTTATGCGCAGCAACGAAACATCTGTAAAAACAATAGAACCTGCACTGAGACGATAAAAGCTCTCCCTCGGGGAGCTCCTAGATGTAAGAAATTTAAATCAACTTTTATCACAACAAAACAGAAGCTCAGAAACTGGCACGCTTCCAGACGGATGTTTATTTTGTAACGCCACGTTTTCCGGTTTTATCTTCTCGTGTTTGACCACCAGGGGGCAGAAACGGAGCCCTGACATAAAGTAGTAAAACAGGAAGCAGTCACAGAGCAACATTACTGCCTCATAATCCATCATTAAGTTAAGAATATCCCACTACTGTTGTCTGTTTCTGTCTTTTGACTGTCACATGTGTAATTGCGTTCATTTATTTACACCAGTTTTCTGCTTCGTTACTCAAGTGATGCTACTTGAAACACTGATCCACAGATCGGCACGAAGAAAACACCTTCTGTAAGAACTCAGTTTGACTACAACAGTCACATTGAAGATAGTCAGACGTGGAGCGTTTGGTGAACTAATGACCCATGGAGATGAAATTCCAACCTTGCAAGCTGGAGAATGTAAAGTTTCCGTTGTGCTGCGTTCACAAAGGCCTCCTTCCTTCTGTCTCTCTGTGTTCAGGATGCATTCAGCCTGCTAGCGTACTCAGACCCCTGGAACTGCCCCGTGGGCCAACAGTTAGACCCCACGCAGAGGGAATCGCTCTGCTCCGCACTCAACAGCGCCATACTGGGTAAACGCACCACACATCACCGTACAGACGTTCACTCTGCAGGTAGGTTGTTGGTAGGAAGCTTGAAGAACCTGCTGCAGCTTATTTGGTAGATCTAAGCTGACTCAGCCTCTTTCTGGGAGTTAGTGAGTCCAGGATGTCGAGATCCTTCAGATGCTTGAGTAAAAGTACTGATATCTCACGACAGTGTTACACGTTCAGTATTTATTTTTTATTTTTTTAATGTTTGGCACGAATACAAAGGTGAGAGAGAAACGTCTTTTTGGTTCCTCTGTGTGTCTTGGATAAATAGAGACACGGACAATAAAAACCTTCTGTTCTATTCAGTAATTTAACATTATTAAAGCCTTTAATTCTCACATTTGAACCACTGCAATCATCAAACGTAGCATCCTCGGTATGACTGCTAATATGAATTCTTGGCTAGTTCTGCTTGTAGCAAAGCAGTTTTTATTGTATTTATTCTTGTGTTTAATGTGCAAAAATCCAAATTTTGTAAAGTGACCAAAGCTGTAGGATGTGATGCTGAATTGTGTCGGAGTGGAAACTGGCATCAAAAAGTACCTGAAAACTTTTATATTCAAATACTGTCCTAACTACAGTACATGAGTAAATTTTACATTTCCACCACTGACTCTACAAACTTTTGCAGGACTCCTGGTTCTTTTGTTGCTGGACCTTTATGACTTTATGAGGCTATAAATATCTGAATACGTGTCTCGTGTGATGCCTTCACGCCCACGGCTCTCTGACTGATGCCGTTTTTCTGCTTCCAGAGTCCCAAAATCTGCCTAAACAGCCTCCGCTGATGTTAGCGCTCGGCCAGGCCACAGAGTGTGTTCAGCTCATGGCCCGAGTCCGGTCCGGTTCCTGCTCCTTCGCCAGAGTAGACAACTTTTTGCACTAGCCCAGGTCCAGGTGAGCAAATTCACAACCTCTAGGAAACGTGTGCTTGTGATCAGTGTTTCCTGTTGTGTTTGGCTGGTTTGCTTAAATATGTCGTATATCACAAACAATGAGCCTCATGCAGGAACCACACCTGTGAGTATTTTAGGAGAAGACGAAGCTTTCACAGAGTCATGTATAGATAAGCTAGAAATACTTAATATTGTATCATGGATCCCTAAAATAACACATAAAACCATCACAAATAGAAGAAACAAGCCTGTTGCCAAAAAGGTTCAACAACACCTAGCATTTCATCTACTTTTATCTACTATATTTTACTGTCTTTATATTATTATATTAGTCTGTTTATGACTTTATTTCCTCTCTGTGAAGTCATGGATCACTTTATTCACCGTTAGTCAAACTGTTTCCTCTTTATTTCTAATGTGAGGACAAATTGTTTGCATTCATATTTCTGTAGTTTTCTTCCTGCTGAGGCTGCTACTTGTAAAATAAAATAAAATAAAATAGTAAAAAAAAAAAAAGGGCGAAACAGGACACCAACCTGTAAGATCAATATCCTTTATAAGAGGATCATAAAGAGCAGCCAGAAGCCATCGAGAGCAAGTTTGTGGTTTTTCATGCAGATATCAATGGAGGAGGAGGAACGTTTGATTGACAGTAGGAGGAAAACCAGTTTAGCACCAGTTTAACGAGCCAACCTGGTTCTTCAGACGGGTTTTAAAAAATATCAAAGAAGTAAAAATCAAAGAAATGTCACAGCTGCCAGAGTGTAAAGACATCTGCACATCGTCTGGAAGTGGTTCAAGGACAGGAACACCTTTAAGTCAAATGACCTGCGACCGTCTTTACAATAATAATAATAATAATAATAATAATAATGATAATAATAATAATAATAATAATAATAATAATAATAATAATAATCCTCTGTCGCGTTCAGCTGATGAGTTTCCAGCAAGTTAACTTCACACATGTAAACAAACTGGTGTGTACAAATGAATATGCAGGTTGATTAGGTTTCCCCTGATGGAGGCCTCTGATTCAGTTAGTTAGTTAGTTAGACTCTTAAACTAGTGTTTACATAAAAATCCCTACCTATAGTTCAGTCTGATGTATTAACGTTAGGTTTGGAAACATCTGGACAGTGACAGTTTTTGTAATTTTGACCCTTTATGAATGAAACAAAACGACTAAACTGCAGTCCAAGTGCAGACTTGTAGCTTCAATCAAGACGTTTGATATTTTATTAAGCGTGTAGCAGCAGCTTTTCTACATCGTCTCCTCATTTCAGTTGCTCAAATCTAATTGGACAAAATCACATAATCATGATTATCGTTTTTTGACCCCTTGCTGAGGAACCTGTGATCCTCCACCATGTTTAACAAGATGTCCGCCGTGGATCACGAGCTGCTCCGAGCTTCCTCCAGACGTTTTGCTTCTTGTCACATCTGGTGCAGCTTCATCTTGGTTCCATCTGTCCAGATCATGTAGTTAAAGGCCTGAGATGTCTTTTTATTTATTTTTTAGCTGTTTAATGCAGCTTTTCTGTCCGTGAGGCTCGTGTATGTTTTGCATCTCTGGATGAACTTTCTGTATTTGCTCTCATCCGTGTGATAAACTACATGAACAATATTTCTACCTCCTGGAGGTTGTCTTCACTTTTCTTTACCATCCTACCGATTATCCACCACTCTTATCTTCCGTAAACATCCAGGCCTTTTGAAACCTTTATTTTTTAAAATTCTTTTCTCATCATAATGACGCTGATGTGGTCTCTCCTAATGTTCCTGCTCTCTCTCTCTTTCTTTGGTGGGTTTCTTTTTGCTGCTTTTTGCAGCTTAACAACAACCTGAAAGCTCCTTTGGCCTCACGTTGTAGATTCACTTCCAAATGCTTCTCCTGGAGTTCTGCCTGCTTCACCGATGATAACATAACGCAGGAACGTCCCACATCTGTCCACGAAACAGCTAAAGAGCTCTAATTCCTAAACCGTTTCCACCAATTCAGTTATGAATACCTTCAAATTAAAGCTGAGACTCTGCTCTTTAAGCCCATATTGATTATTTAACTCTAACTTGAGTATTCTTTTGGTAAACTGGTGAAATAAGAAAGCTTGTGTCACTGCCCAGTAACCCATAGAATGTACACAACAGGTTAGAATAAACCAAGATTCTTCAGTTTTAGGAGCAAACCTCACATAAAAAGTTCCCGTATGAGGCTCAAAGCTCTGCTGCTCTGAATAAACTGTGTCTTCTTATGTGAGTTACTGCAAAAATAATAATTATAATGAAACTAGTGAATAGATGATCAGCCTCGGTCTTCAATTAGAGCCGCATTGTGCACGAAATGGAAAACATGCCAACAGAGCATCGACTTCAATCACATCCATTCATCGCCCGCTTCCCTCCGCAGGTTAAACGTCAAGTAGCACTGACAGAAGGCGTGTCCGGCAGGTGGTTGTCGCGGCGACAGGGGGAAAAGAGCATGCGTGTGATTGGTGCGTTTGGCTGTCCGTCAAGACCTGAAGCCGGCGACGCAGACGAGAGGAGAAGCGTGAGAGGAGAAAGCTTCCTTTTTAATTTTAGTATTATCAAATAAAGAAAATGTGTGACACTATTTAAAGATAATTAATTATTATTCTGTTTATCTAGCCTTTTATTTTGTTTTTTTTTTTAGTTCTTTTTTTTGTTTTTTTGTCAGTTTGTTGTGCTCATCCTGGACGAAACACAAAATGGTAATTTCTCCCCCCTCCTTCACTTTTTATTCTTTCTTCTGTTTTTTTTTTAAATGGGTGGATTTTGATTCCCTACGATCAGTATTGTTGTTCTTGTTCACCATATCGGGAAAAAAGCTGGTTTCCACGGCGACCCTCACATCTGTAGGCCCTTTTAGGAAAACCTCGAGTGTAACGCGTCGGTTTTTAATGCGACGCACTTGGAAGTATATTCATGTCTTGAGATGTAAAAGGGGTTGAGCTCAGCACGACACACACACCTCTTATTATAACTTCTTTTTGAGCCCAGAACCTTTCTGGTGACGCAACATTTTTTAAGAATAAAACAGTGTGAGCAGCCAAATAATTGAATACATCCTGAAAAAGAACATCGCCCTGAAAGCCTCTGCAACGGAGAAAGGGGCGATGACGAAGGGTTGAAATTGGAATAATGGAGGTGTTGAAGCTTTAATTCTGCTGTAACAACCAATCAGTGATGTGGTTGCAGGTGGCAGAGCTCAGCCCCAGCTGCACCTCCAACACCCTCCTCCAGGACCGAGTCTGACTCCATTATCATGGTCACCTTGATGCCAGCGTGGAGGAAATCAGTATCAAAGGCAGACTAACAAGCACAGTGTGTGTACGGCTAAAAGTCAAGTCACCTCGAGGGATTTCATTACTGCAATCTTTACTTTTTTTTCCCTCCTCAGCCTCACCTGCTGTGCGCTGTTGCAATTACAATTTCACATAAAAAGGTGAAGCCGTTTTTCCAAACGGGAAGGTTTTTAATTTTAGGGTGCTCGTCGTGATAATTAAATTACGGTCTTTCTTTCATTTTTGATTTCAAACCAGGTTTAAAGGTTATGAAGACTTATGTAGTTCTGATTGTCGGGCTCACACGGGGCGCTCCATCTTTGTGAAACATGATGAACTTTGTCCCAGAGCGCTCCACAAGCTGCACAGGAGGGAAAACAAAGGTATTGTTATTGTTCAGATTAGCTGCTGGCCATTATGAGATTTAGAGTCATTGCTTTTTTTTTTTCTCCGTTAATTTCTCTTTTGGAGTCAGATCAGTTGTAGCAAAACTACCTAATCCTACTTAAAGCCACCATGACCCATTTGTCAGTGTTTGGAGTGCCAAAATAAATAAGACATTATGAAATAAATAACCACAAGACAAAGATTTTATTCAATATTTCAGTGAATTGTAAAATAACTCATTTTCACATCTTGATCTGTTCAAAATGTCTTAACTCAAGTGTCTGATTGCAAGCCCAGCCATTGTTAGCACTCTTTAGCCAGTTAGCTCTCAATAGCTAATAAGGTAGAAGCTAGCTAACAAGAGCTAGTTTTGTAACAAGTAACTAGCTTACTGGTGTTAACTTACTCAGTATTATCCAGTAAGATAGCACGAGTACGTAAGCTTACTAGCTACTGTTATTAGGCTGCTACTTCAAGCGGCCAACAGACTCACTAGCTCTTTCCACTAGCTAGTGCTACTAGCTATCAAGTTAGAAAACAGCTAACAGGCTAACAAGGTCTAACTTACTAGCTACTAGCCAAAGCTACACGAGGGACACAGACTGGAGCTTACTTCACAATCTCTTCCTAAGCTGCTAGTTAGTAAGTTTGAAAATAGCTAATTAGTTCTTATTTGCTAACCAGTACTATTAGCTAGTAGGTAAGAAAATAGCTAACAGGATTAATATGTACAATTCAATAGCTGCTAACCAAAGCCACAGTACAAGAGAGGTGTGCCACTCTTGTATTTCCAAAACTAGCTAACACCATACCTAGCTCATATTTACTAGCAAACACTATCAGCTAGTAAGTTAGAAACTAGCTTAAGTGCTCACTTGGTCTAACCTACAAGATCCTAGCTAGTGCCACGTGAGGGGCTAATCTGTTCATAAGCTGCTAATTAGTAAGTTAGAACCTAGCTAATCAGAGCTAGCTTGCTAGTTATTGTTATATTAGCATTAATAAGTAAGACTAGTAGCTAGTAAGTTAGAAACTAGCATACACGCTTACTATATCTACAAGCTACTATTTAGAGCTACATAAGTGGCTAACTTCATGCAGATCAAGCTTCACTCGGTCTTTTCACACGCTGCTAATTAGTAAGTTTGAAACTAACTGGTCAACTCACTAGCTAGCATGACTTGCTAGTAAACTAGAACACTGCTGACAAGGTTGATACTTTGGAATCAACCAGTATTTTTTGCACCTTATAAACACACTGCTAAGTAACTAACCTGCCTTTTTATGTGTTTTACACGGCTACAGGTGCTACCTGCCTAGCCAGCTAACTAGCCGTTCACTAGCGCTAACGTCAACAGCTAGCTGGTTAAATTGAGCATTTTGAGCATTAGCATGAAATTGAAAACTCAATGCACAGCCTCTCTGTTTAGTCAACAGGAGTGAGGTTAGCATTAGCTTGCTAGCGGGCCTGAGATGAGTTCTGATATTTTCCAGTTTATTGGCTCTTTGTTGGGTTCTGTATATTTTTCCAAAATTGTGAAAGGATTTTCTTCATAAAGTCTTATTTATTTTTTTAAACAACATGTTGGCTCCACTTTTAGAAGCTCGGATCAAACTTTGACATTTCATCTGAACCCCAGTTTAAGATCTTTTTTTTTTGTTTTGGGCAGAAGCACCTCTGTAACCCGACTGCACCCGACTTCCTTGTGTATTATTGAGTTTTGGTGACAAACTTGCTTCACTCTGTAAACATTTTAAACTACTAGAGAAGACTTGTTTTCTACCAAATGGCTGGATGTTGTGTGACAAACCGTTGCTCCGTCTGCTTTGTTGTCACCCGGCACGTGGCTTGTGGATCCACCCTGAAGTGTATATTTCTATTAATAAGAGAATTTCAGTCCTGATATGGGCTCGTATAATATTGGAGATGTGTGTTTGCAGTGTGGGCTTTACTGCAGGGTATGTGGTCAAACTTTTTACCTGTCTGGTTTTTATAAACACCTTCTGCTATAACTAGGAGCTATTCTAATAACGACACAAACACACACTGACGACATCTGCACTCGCAGCTGTAAAGGACTTCTGTTACACACTGTTGAACCAACAACCTGTTACACACCCTGTAGGGAACCAGTCTCCCGGCTGTCCTTTGTGTTTGAGTCTGGGCTTCGTCTCACCGCCACCTTTCCTCTAGTCCCTGCCTAGACGTAGCCACTGATGTGATCAGTGATCGTTTTAAGGAAAAGAGGGACGTTGTGAAAAATGGGCCCGAGGCCTCCGAAGCAACACGGACTTCACCCCCCGAGAGGCCGCAGGAAACCGATTTAGGCATCGCAGACGAGCTGTGCACAATTGACTTCTATCATGACTTTAATTTCATATTTTGACTTTTGAGTTTTAGCAAAAAAGAAAAATGTTTAAAAAAAAAAAATTGTGAAATGAGTTACCCTCTACTTAGCATGACTTTTAAAACCTGTAAAATGATATTAAAAAAAAGGAAAAATGATAATTAAAAAAAAAAAAAAAAACCTATCTACTGGAAACATGTTAAAAAAAAAAAAGAAATATTGTATTCTGTTTAATTTTGACAGAATTATTTTTATTAAAATACATCCATAAGCATATGAATGGCGTCCTGTGTTTATTTGGTGTGTTTCTGTTTATCTGAAGATGTGCGAGTTCGCTGCTTCTTGAAATGAATTATTTAAACACCTGTCGGTTTTGGTAATAAATAGATTCTAGTCCGGGTCGGTCTCTCTGCACGGATGAATTTAAATATCTGTAATTTCCACGACGTAAACGCTGCCGACCTCGTTGGGCTGACACGATGAGACGGCGCTGAGCTGATGTTCTGATGCTTCGTCATGGAATTGTGGAGATCCGTCTCCAGTTCTTATATCTCTAACATTAACTGTTTCTTCTTCATCATCATCAGGCCTTAAAGGGGACAATCTGCTGCTTCCTGGACTTGTAAACTCGTGGATCGTCCCTCACCCTGAGCCCCCCTACGACCGTAGTGAGGATTAATCAGTGCATAGACGATGGATATTCAGAATCATTTAAAGATGAAGGCTACGGCCCTACATGATCACACCAGGGGAACTCTTATTTGCTGTTTTGGGTTCTTTTTCTAATCATCTGATCAGTCATCCATCACATCTGCTCTTTGTCGCTCACAGGAGATCGTCGCTTGTTTTAGGATTCATCACAGGAGACTGTAGGTAGGTTGATGTTTCTCTTGTTTCCTCCTTGACTCCCTTTTTCTCCATCACAAGGCTTTGGTGTTTCACATATCAGGTAATGAGACATATTCAGGTAAGATGTCTTGTGGTGTATCAGTCTCAAGCAAACCGGATGCACTGGATCCCAGTTTGGAGCCACAGAAGCCTGTATTCAGAACATAAATGTGAACAGAGGATGTAGGAGCACAAAACGGTGACGGAAATCGTGTTTATGTGTTGAAACATGGTATGAGAGGCCGAATTTAAACACCTGCAGCCTCCAAAGCTGCTAAAACCGAGACCGGTCATTTATTTTAT